AGAAGGCTGTCACTCTTGGCTCACTGCGCTTGCTCGGTGCACATGATTCTCGAACCCAATGATCACTTACCCCACAGCGTGGGGAGTGGTCATTGGTTGATAATGCTGGCACGCCCTCCCGAGATAGGGCCTGACTAACGCAAACTCCGGTAAAACAAAGGATAATAACAATAATGATACTCGCCTATTTGGAACAAGAGTAATTCACGGTAAAAATACAATGATACAAGGTAATTGAAAGATATTGCGCATAATTCTGCTCTGTATCAAAACAGCCCTCACCTCATTTTTTTTAATAGAAAAAATAAATCGCATAAGAATTACACAATCGATCGTATAAAGTAAAGCAAAAACTGCCTTGTTATTTCGAACGAGATCAAATGCGCCCGCAGCTTCTTGTTCCCGAATGAATCGCCAGTGTTTACTTTTTACTTCATTTCGTTATGGAGAGAATAAGAGAGTAAGTAAATAAATCCGATTTTCTATTGAATAAACTAGGGAGTTTTGAATAAATACGGTTCTGCAAATCATACAGATTGGCTTGACAGTACGACAGTTTGATAAAACTAAACATCATGAAATAGTGTTGAATCGAATATAATTTTTTGAAGTTTCCGAAATTAATAGATTATTTCAGCAACAGTTGGTTCCTACTGAGTAAAACTGACACTGAAAAAAATGTATGTGCTTCAAACTGCTGCAGAAAACAAATTGGTGTCAGGTGAGGGGCATTCGATGAAATTGCAGTTCAATTTATTTAATAATTAACATAATCAACTGTGAAGTACTTGAAAATCTTCTTACAGTTTTATTCGCGTTGATAAAATTAGATCATTAGCAAAACAATGAAAATGTGAGTTAGTAAAGCAAAGAGTACTATGAAGTCATAGGACCTCGATCCATTCAAACAAGTAAATGAAATTGTGCTTGTGAGAAAGCATTCAATACGAGGGTGGTGCCAGAAGTTCCCGGCCCGACAGAGAAAACACAAAAATTTTGGAAAAAAATGTATTTATTCTTCAACATAATCTTGCAGCTCTATTAACTGCCGACATAACTTTTTCATGGTTGGGAAATCTTTGACCACTGAGCCATTTTCTCAAGTTTGGGAACAGAAAATAATTCGAGGGGGCTAAATCTAGCGGCGTACTTCTGGGACCACCCTCGTAAAAGATAAGTTGACCATTTCTATATAAGTTTATGCGCAAATGAATGAAGTTTTATTTGATGATAAAAATGAAACTTTGTGATTTTTTTAGTATTTTCACGTTCCCAGACTGAAAAACAAAAAATAAAATTATAATTGACAAACTGTACAAACAGAAGATATTTTTCAGATCCACCACATAAATACCAACCACCATCGTTACTGGAAAGAGATTCATTTCACATATCAATCCGAATATCGGAAACTGACGTAATAAATTCGAATAGCATTCAATTTGTTAACGAGCGTAATAAAAAAACTGCGGAACTTTCAAATTCAAATGCTCGCACAGCGATCAACAAATTTATCACTAATTGAAATTATCGGCCACAGATGGGTATGGAGGTAGGCACATATATGTTTGATTCGTTTTTGATTACCTTGCATTCTGGTAATTAATATACGTTTGCATTGGGGATGTTTACAAGCATTTTTATCACAGCAGCAGGATCGATCCTTCCGAATTGAAACATTATTCAGCAAGCGGACGTATTATCCGGTCAAATTAGACTAAAAAACTCAATGACTCTTTCCA